TATATTATATTTTGAGTTATTATAATATATTTTATATATATTTTGAGTTATTATAATTTATTTTACGTAATTTGTATTTTATATATTATATTAATATTTGAATTACCTTAATTATTTTCTGTACTCTATTTATTTAAATTAAAACCTATAGATATGTTTGTTTAAATTTTAAAAATTATTTAACTATGATTATAATGTGACACTCTAAATATTTAATTTATATCACAACAAATCATGATAATAACAACAATAATAATGATAGTAATGGTAAAATTAAATAATTAATTTGCCGGGTAGATGCGATGAAGTGCAATTTAATTGACATTAAGATCAATATAGAATTAAACAGATGATTATTGAAGATAAATCTCAGTATAGTAAGCTCAAACAAAAAAAAAGAAAAGAAAATTAATGATGCAATTCCTTTAGTAATTGGCCCAAGTATAATTAAGCATAATCTAAACTTATCGGATAAAGATTCAAATCTATACATGATGATGGCAGCACAAGTAGAGAGGCTTCCTGTTTGGCTACGTGTCACCCTGAGCAAGGATTACAACCTCGGCGCGCGTGCGAGGTGCGGACGGCGTGCGCGTGGACAGCGCCATTGACGCGCGCGTGATGGCGCGTCTGCAGGGACGTCTAGCGCGTGTGGGCGCGTGTGGGCGCGTGGCTGCGGTGTGGTGGCCCGTGCATTCCACGCGCCGCCTTCCAGGGTACTGACTGGTCCGATTTTTATACTGCCGGACTCCTTTTTTCAAAATAAAATCGTTTATGGTATGAAAAAAGACATTAATGAACATAAAAAAATATTTATGCTCTTAATCTAATCAAAGTAGATTTTTTTTTCTCCTTTACAAACATTCATGTATATAATGTAAACATACACATGTAAAAATATACACATGATTAAAAAGAAACACGAAAATATCCATCAATGGCTCTGATACCAATGTAAACTAAAAACACAGAATATGCAGCGGATAAAATAATCAGATCATACCTTCTTGATGATAGAACCTTCTTGGATAAATCACGTGCTTCCAGAAAACTGATAAATCAACCGAGCAGTGGAGTGATATCACAGATTGAATATCACCCACACAAAATCACAGCGCAAAGACTTGATCGTTGTTTTGTGGGAGAGAGTCAGTATATGGGTAGAAACAGATCATACGTTGTTTCTCTCTTGATTACCCATAACCATATATCAGATATATAATATATTATTATATCTATCCATATCAGTTAAAACTGATAATATCTGTATCTTGAGTGGTTATCCTAAATAGGTTTGAATTCAATTTCAAAACCTATTTGGATAGGATTCCAAATTCAAATTCAAATGGTCATGCCACATGGGCGCCCATTACTAACAATGATAGATTTAATTTCAAGGATTTAGTATATAAATTGTGTGTAAAGTGGAGTGAGTTAGTTGGTAGTTCTTTGAATATATTGTATGCAATGCATACACATTCTTGTTATGGTCTACAAAGTGAAGAGGATTTGGAGGTTATGGTTGGACTCGCACTTTCCTGTGATATTCATCGTATTGATGTTTTTGTTAAGTGTTGTTATTTAGGTGAAGGTTATATGATTTGTGATGGTGAAGCCGGTAGTAGTAGTAGTGTTGTTTGTGAAATTGAATTTTTGCCTTCATTTTATTCAAATCAACGGAAACCTTTGCTCTCCAATAGGTGGGTTAATTGTATAAAAGGAGTGGGTCAAAGGTTTGCTCAAGGAGTTGTTGAATTTCAAGATGCATTGTCAAAGTATTCTATTCATTCCGGTTTTGATTTTGATTTTGATTTTAATTTTATTAAGAATGACAAGATCGTGTCACTATTTATTGTAAGAGAAGGGCTGATTTGGGATATTTATGGAGCGTGCATGCTAGAGTGGAAAATTCTAGTAAAGTTTTTGTTATTAAACAATTTGATGATGTTCATACGTGCGGATCTTCTTTTCGTACAATTAAACATACTACGATGACTTCGAGTATGATTGGTGGGCTAATTTCAAGTGAGGTTCGTAATAAGGCTTTGACATTGGTTAGTGAGGTGGTTTGTGATTTCAAGGACTATTATGGAACATAAGTTTCTTATTGGCGAGCTTGGATGGCTGTTGAAAAAACAGGGAATGTTGTTTTTGGTGACTATTCATCTTCATTTGACGATCTTCATTGGTATGTTGATGCCGCTAATGATTGTAATCCGGGGAGTGTTTTTATATGAAATTTGATATTGATAGTAAAGGAAGACATTTCAAATGCTTGTTTTTTGCTTTTGAGGCATGTATTCATGGTTTCAAGTATTGTCGACCTGTGTTGATGCTTGGTGAAACTTTCTTGAAATGAAGACACAAAGGTTGTTTATTGGCTGCTACAGCAAAAGACGGTAACCAAGGTATATTCTTTGTCTATTTGTTATTATTATTAAAACAATGATAATTTTATCATTTTTGTTACTGGAGAGTGTTGATTATTGAGTATGGTCAATCAATTAGTGATAAATTTATGCTGTATACTTTTGTATGCTGTGTACTTTTGTTAAATTTTTATATTTATACAGTGATAAATTTATTATGCATTGATTCTATATGTTGTATGTTGCTATTGAATTGTTGTAGTAATACAGTGATAAAGTTATCTATGGTTGGTGCTATATGTTATATACTTTGCGTTTTGCTTTTGTTTTGTAATCTTTTTTATTTGTTATGAATAATGTGTATATATTTTGTTTGTAGGTTTATATCCGTTATGTTTTGCCATTGTTGATAGTGAACGTTATGACAATTGGCATTGGTTCTTGTCAAAGTCATTTGTTATTTTGACTCCGAGAAGGGATATTGCGTTTGTTACTGATCAGCATGGAGGTTTGCTGAAAGCTTTAGTTGAAGTCTTTCCGTTTTCTTCTCATTCTTTTTGTCAAATGCATTTGAAGACAAACTTGAAGACTTATTTGTCAGTGAAGAGTCGCGAATCTAAAGAGTTTTTGCTCACTCTTTTTAGTAGATGTTCATATGCTCCTACTATTGAGTTGTTTAATGAGCTATTTGAAAATTTTAAGGGACGTTGTGGTCATAGTGTTCAGAAGTTTCTTGAGGATTTGCCTAATGAGTGTTGGTGTAATGCTTATTTTCAAGGCAAGAGGTATGGTGAAATGTGCACAAATGCTGCGGAATCTTTTAATTCATGGATTAGGGATAAGCACCATTTGTTTTCAACTAATCTTGTTGATGCTATACGGGTGAAACTAATAAAGCAGTTTTCAAAAAGGAGAGAAGTTGGAAATAAGTGGAATCATATTGTTTGTCCTTTTGCAGAGAAAAAGTTAGAAAAATCTTTTAATAATACAAAGGCATGGATAATTAAGAAATGTAGCGATGATATTCATGAAATCCAATTGGATCATTCAGTTATGGTTGATATTGGGAAACAGTCTTGTTCTTGTCAATTGTTGGAAATTGATTCTTATCCTTGCAAACATGGTTTTTGTGCTATAAAGAGGAGTGAGAAGGATTTGAATTGTTTTCTTAATGATTACTACCATGTTCGTAGTTATTGTGATTCTTATTCGCATTCTATCTATCAAGTTCCTAGTATGTGGAAGCCAAATATAGTTCTTGATGATGACATTGTTTTACCCCCTCTTTGTAAGAGACCAGCTGGACGTCCAAGAACAGAAAGAATACCTTTGAAGGGTGAGATCAAGAGAATTAGGTGTGAAAAGATGGGAACTTATAATCGGAAGACATGTAAAGAAGCTTTGCTTTAGTTGTATTGATTTTAATTGAATTACTTTTGTTGAGAGTTGAAAGGTGTTACTTGCATTGAATGTTTGAGTATTTTTTGAAAGATACATCATTTGGATAGTTGCATTGGATGATTGAAGAATTTTTTGAACGGAAATTATATTTTTTGTTGATATTTTTACAAGATTAAGTTTCACAGATTTATATTCTTTGATTTTCGTTAAATGTAGTTGTTGTTTTTGGTATTTTATACAGTGGTAAATTTATCCCTGGTTGGTTTGAATGAGTTGGTGGATTATGTATTTTTAAGAATGATAAATTTACCATTGTCTGAAGGAAACAATCAAGCATTAATGGGGTTGTTGAATTTTGTTATTTTTAATAATGATAAATTTATAACTGACTGTATGGAAAGAGTTGACAGTTTATTACATTTATGTCAGTGGTTGATAAATTTATTACTGTCATATCCAACCAAATATTCTTTTTTACAGTGATAAATTTATCAATGGCTTAAACTCAAGAAAAATCAATTGTAGGTAGTTTGGGACTAAGGTTCCCAATCTGTGCTACATTATTGTCACTATGCAATTAACTATCAGTGGGATCCTTGAAGCAAAATATTTCGAGTTTGCAATTCATTTTCAGATTAAATTGTTCAAAATTTCAATCTAAGAAATGCTTTAGATGCAACAGTTTATCATCAGGTCTTGAATAAGATCATATTTTTTCAAAAATAACTGGTTCTTGGAGTTAAATGTTACAATGTATGTACGGTTTGTTTTTTTGGGTTTACTATTAGAACTTTATCTCCACTCTATATACCCAAAATGACATGTTCTTACATTCATTTTCAAACTTGGAAATATCTACAAACTATAACAGTGTTTTAATTTTCAATTTGGACAATGTAACAGTGTTTGTGTTTTAATTTTCAATTTAGGTAAATTGCTTATTATTTTTTATATTGTTTTGTTTACTTGAATTAGGAAAAAAGAATGAGAGAGAGAGTTACTGATTTTTGTTAGTTTGAATAGTGATAAATTTATCAATATAAAAAAAAAATGTCATGTTAGTAAATGAAGGGATCCAAACTTGTTATTAAGCATAAAGTAAGACTGATATCAAAGCCAATCTACTAAAAATATAGCTAAAAAAGACTGAATTTTCATTTAGCGTATTGTCTGTAATTTTAACATTGTAACAACCAAGCATTGTAATATTCATTGAAGTAAAGTACGAACCAAAATGATCAAAATATAGATAACACTGTAACAACCAAACAAGCCAAATGTATGAAGTATTCACATTCTAACAACTAAATGAATCAATGTTTCCTTTTTGTTACACTGTAACAAACAAACAAGCAAAATGTTTTATTTTCTTCCAAATCTGTTGATTAGTGTAACAAACAAACAAGCAGATCTGTTGATTATTGCGGATGCAAGTCATCAATGTTTTCATCAATTATTTATTGTTGAGCAGTTTGTTGGTCAATCAAGAAAATAGTTAATATATCGGCTCTCAATTGATTGCATTCTTCCTTGGAAAAAGTGGACATTATGTTGTTGCTGGAAACATATTGCCTCGTGATATAGCAAATAATGATTCCACAATCAAGCCTGCAAAAACATTTTAAAAACAAAATATTATAATTTGGTTTCGTTGCCTTTTTTTTTATAAGAGTGTTTTGTTATTGATCAACTTACGAAGTGTCTTCTTATTGTGGGCTGTTGATGACTCTCTCTGTCTCCTGTTGAAATTTATCAAGGGCGATGAAAGTTGGCTTCTCTTCCTTTATGTACTTGTCAATAATCTTTCTCTACAACATATAGATTTGTATAATTGTTCTATTAGAAACTCAGTTGAAACAATTCATGAGAAACCATGGATTTAAAGAATGATAAAATATATCACTATATAAACTTTTGATGTATAATTGAGCATGCATCAGGATTGATGTATTGGATTAATGGTAAGTTTGATAGTGAAAACATTTTTACCACTTCATTTGTGGCATTGAAGTATAGATCTTTACGCATTGCACCCCTTGCTCTCATGGAATTATAGAATTTCCATGAACCTTATTCAATGTCAAGGACAAGTATTGTTCAATGAAAATTTGGGTGGATTGGGAAGAGAAGGTATCTTCATTTCATGGTTTCAGGCATCAACTTGTTCAGCATTCTCTTTGTTGCTTCGTCATCTTTTGTTGTCAACAAGTGCTAACTAATATAAATAAAAAAAAATAATGTTAATTTAAACCGATTCAAATTAAATAGGTGGCTAGTATGCAATTTATAGTGGGACCCCCTGTTTTTTTTTTTTTAATATCAATTATAATTTTACCCATACATTCTGTCTGCTAGGTCGTCAAGGTCTGCTGCTGAGAGTTGGTCATAAAAGTCATCTCCATCTCCCATGGGTGGTTCATCGTTCCATTCTTGATCATTCTCTCCCATCACTGGTGATTCATGAGAGACGCCATGCAGGTAGTTCGGGTACTGACTTTCATCGACAAATGTCTCTTTGCTGAATGGATATCCTGGGATGGCTAAATTACAATGTATCTTCTGATGTCTATCTTCACAAACTAGATGTCCATAGTTTCCATTATAGGCTAAGAGAGAGTTGCTAGCAAATTTTCTCCATTTATTGAGCTGGTCTTTGAGTGAAAATCTTCTGCATGGCCAGGGTCTCCTATTGAGAAGTCCTGGGTATCCTGGAAATGTAGAGGTTCCTCTGAGGTACATTTTGTGTTTAGCTGGGTTGCACCATATTCCCTTCCACTCTGGTAGTTTGCTATCTATCAAAGCTTCCACATACGAATGATGTTCTTCCATTACGCATAGTACTGCATGAGCAAGCTTGTGTCCAAAGTTATCTGTCTGATCTGGATCTGTGAAAATTAGTCTAGAGACAAAGTCGTAATGTAACAATTTTGGAGCTATTAGATAACGAGTTTCGCCCCTAATTTCTATCTCCAGCGGCTCGAATGTAGCTAAATTTATCTGGCAAAGGCAAATGCTGAAATCTAGGTTACACTGACATCTACCAAAATGTTCTGACCTCTTATTGCATTTTTCTTCGTCTAAGCAGGGTTGCTCTTCATCTTCATAGGTATAGGTCCATTGGTAAGCTAGGCCGGGGCAGTCAACCCTTGCTATGGAGAGATCTTGAAGAAACTGCTGAATAATGACTAACTTGTTGTTTCTGCTATCTCCGGCTAAGGTATAAAAATAGGGTTTTAGGTCTTCCATCACTTGGCTTTTCTCACAAAGGTATCGAATGATAGAATGCCTGAAGAAATACATTCTAGCACTCAATTGGTCAAATTCCTCACTGGTGAGTTGTTTGATTTCTGGGCTAGGTAAGGAGGTAGGTGCTCTTTTCTGGAGCTAATTTTTTAAGCTGGTTGGTTAAGGTTCTAATGGTTGCCCTCAGTTGTTTTTCTTCGTCTCGGAGCTGGTCTAGCTCTTCACTGACCTTCTTGTCTTTGTCCATAATTTTCTTGAAATTTCTGGAAAGGCCTTCACAATGTCTGCACATTTGGAGAGGATTCTGGGAATCTATCTGAGGATTAGAACTACTACTGCTTCCACTTGTCTGGCTAACTAGAACGCCACTGGTAGCAAGGATGGTAGATCTCATCTTGCTCAATGTGTCCAGGTAATCTTTAGCTATCTGGCTAATAAAGTAACTGGTTCCTATTTGTCTTCGGGCATAGGTACTGGCTGACTCAAAATCATAAAATCCTTTAAACTGAGGTGTGGGAAAACTTTTGATTAAAGGTTCTACTTCTATCCAATCATGGTAAATACCAGGCTTGGTTCCCTTAGCTACTACATAGAAAGAAAAACTTTTAGACAAGGGCTTGTTTTGGATTTTTGAAAAATATATACTGAGAGAGTTTAGGGCTGAAAGGCGCTTAACTGGGTGGTTTTGGCTGGTCCAAAGGTTATCTAAAAGATACTGTTGAACTGGGTCTAACTCAATCCCTGTTAAGGGTCTGAACTTGGTTCTGCCTTCATGAATGGGAAGAGAAAATCCCCCAAAGTTCATGGTCTTGCTGTTCTCCATTATCTGCACAAAAATTAAACTGGTTATCTTCTTTTTCTAAATAAATTTTTCTACTTAACCAGTCCGTTAATTTATTATCGCTTCCTTTAATATGCTCAAATTCTACTTTATATCCCTGTCCTACTATACAATCTAAAAATTTTGCCCATCTTCTAGTACTTAATCCACATTTCCGGGATACCCAGGACTTCTCAACAGGAGACCCTGGCCATGCAGAAGATTTTCACTCAAAGACCAGCTCAATAAATGGAGAAAATTTGCTAGCAACTCTCTCTTAGCCTATAATGGAAATTATGGACATCTAGTCTGTGAAGATAGACATCAGAAGATACATTGTAATTTAGCCATCCCAGGATATCCATTCAGCAAAGAGACATTTATCGATGAAAGTCAGTACCCAAACTACCAACATTGCGTCTCTCATGAATCACCAGTAATGGGAGAAAA